TAAGGAAGCCTTTCAATAAGGAAGCAGGATATGCATATTGTGCCCCATGCAAATTTTACAATTTTGCTCTCTCTGTCTCTTTGTTTAGTTTGCACCCTTTTATCTGTATAAATAAGACTGTTTGAATCTTGCATGGGGGACTCACATTATCTGAATGTATTAGCAGAGCGCTGTGCTAATAAAACAGAGTGGTCTGATAAACTATGAGTCCTGAGTCTAACTTTGACACCTAAGTATATCTAAAATCTCCTTAGATGAGGACCATGGTTGACAACTCAATTCCTCAGGCAGAATGGAACTTTCTACTGTATGGATGAAGCTTGTCTGTGCAGGAGACAGACTGAGGAATGAACTCAGTACCATTACCTTCTATTCCATGAGGAAGCTGTACTTCTTTGACTTGCCTTCTTTAACAAACACAGCAATATGTATACTTAAAGCAAACACCCCCCACCCTGCAAACCCCTATCAAAACAAAAAACACTACACTGCACACACACTTCTTCCCCTGAAGAGAAGATGAGAAAGAATGAACTACATGTGACAGACAGTCATGTTGCTTAATGTACTACTGGAAAGTGCTGAGATCCTACAGTGAGAAGGGCAGCGTAAGAACCGCTGTAGAACAATACAAGTAGAACAGAATGAAGCTATTCAAGTAAGCAAAATCTGAAATATCTATATACTGTACATGCAAAGCAGTTTGGGATTTTAAACAACACTATATAAATGCACTAAATCAATTATTAACCTTACATTCAGACATCTATGATACCGACAACCACAAAGTGCTATCAAAATAGATCACAAACCTAATATTAAAAACAAAATGTAACATAAAAAAAGCTGATTGAATAGATGAAGCATAAAATATTCATTATACACAAAACTGAATTTTGTAAACTTTTAAAACAAAAATTCCTACTGTAAAACCAAGACAACATACTTCTCCCTCAGGATCACTACATATTCAGGGACAAAGGAAACGTAGGTATTGTACGTTAAAAACCCTCTCTCTGATTTACCTTGCAATAGGTTCATTCCTATCATGGTAAACATTTATTCGACCAACAAATCTGTAAGAGGAAAAGTACTTTAGTATCAATGCCAGATATTAATTTATTTTATATAGAACATATGCACACAAACATAACTTGGGAAATATTTGTAAAACATTTTTAAAATCTGAATTATGACTATCTGAAATTTTATATACTCCGACACTGCATCTTACTTCTAAAACATCTTGCAAAAAATACATTAAGATGAAGATTATTTTAAAAATTGTCTATGAAGGTTCTATATGCTATACAAGTTCATTAAATGTTATATGGAGAACATATAATCAAAATAATAGAGAAGGAAGCCGGAAAATTTGGATTTATTTAAAACATATTAAACTTTTTATAAACTTCACTTTTATAAGCCAGCATTTGAAGACATCAGTTATAACAGTGAGTCAATACAAAGTTTGTGTGTAACAAAGGCGAATGTGGTTCTAAGGTTACTTTCAGACCTCCTAATTACAGCACATTTATTCATTCATTTTCAATTTCTGAAAGATGTGTTACTTACCATACTGTAGTCCTTCGAGAAGTGATGCAGCGGTGTATTCCATTTAGATGTGTGCATGCCCAGAACACCAGAGCTGAACAATTTTGCCTAGCAGTACCCATAGCAGGCGGCGCTTATACCTCATGGCCATAGCCTCTCCCCCACACCTATAATGAGGCAGCGCTACCTCCACCCCCGCTGAGTTCCTTCTTACTAACGGTGGCTGGAGTCAGAACTGTGTGTGGTTCTTAACCTCGCAATCCCTTGGTTTTTGACTTAATTGTTCTAGTTGCATATAGTTAGTTAGTACTCTTAGTATTAATATTAGTTAGCTTAATTAAGTATTTTCCCTGGTGATGCCCTCACCAGGGCTCTAACATTGTGAGTCGGGGGTGGAGGCAGGCAATCTCTAGTAACAACCTTCACACAGGAGCTTTCTCTACTTAGGCAAGGCTCACATCAAAGAGGTGTTCGTTCACAAAATGGACTCAGGTGGCTAGACACCTTTGCCTAAAGCAGCATCTTCTCAAGCAGGCCAGGAAGTCTGTCTCAGCACCAAGGCCTACGGAGGATCAGAAGTCGCCCTCGACCTCAGTGAGTGGTACTGACTTGCACTCTGGAACTGGCCCCTCTCTGAAGAGTGAAGAAGACACTCCCCATTGAGTGTGCCAAGGAAAAGATGTCAAGACCGATCAAGACCGCTCCAGGCTTTGTGGAGACTCTTCTTCCTCTTCCAGGAAGAGTACAGCTATTGCCCCCCCCAGCACACGGGAAGAAGCAGGTCCTTCCAACTGCTCCCCAGTCCTATGCAGGGGCGTGCGAGACCCCATACCACTGACTCCAGTTCCAGTCCCGGGGCACCCGTTGAGTCTGGTCTCGAGGGCAATGCAGGCATTGTCTGTTTCCACACTAGCGGCATATCAGAAGGTGGCAGACCTCCTTTGCCTTTCCATCCCAAGCTCACCATTGGTCCAGGACTTCACCAGGGCTATGGCATCCTCAGCCTCACTGCCTGGATGGGCAGCTGAACCTTGAGGTGTATGGGCACCGCAGAATGTCGAAGTGAGGCCATTGCTGGGCTCAGCACAAGGGATCTCCTTAACACTGGGAAACTCCTTTGCGGTGCCAATGTTACTGTGGCGGCATTCCCTGCCTTCCACCTCGGCACCATTAGCAGCATTAGTATTACCACTGACTTCAGTACTGACACCACTGCCAGCGCCAGAGACAACTGAGGCATACTCTGTGCTGGTTGTGCTGTTTCCACCATTGCACCAGTCCTTCCCTGTGGGTGACAGACGAGTCAGGCCGGTTGCTTGTGCCTTCAGAGCTGGCTCCACCTTTATGCCCTGAAATACGTCTCCTCGGCATCCAGGTCAAGATCCCCTTCCGCTCTCTATCACCAGGCCCATATCCAGGACTGTTCAGGGAGCAGCATTGGTACTGGGTTCAGCATTCTTCCTGCTGTAGGGACGGAGCCCCTGGCCTGGTGCCAACTGGCCACCAATGTTTTATCGTTATGCTCTGTAGCCCCTATAGAATCTGTGGGATGCTCCTCGATTGTGGAGGTTGCCCTCCCCATCCCACTTCAAGGCAACATCAATGGGCGCTTCAGTGGCTGGGGCTGTTGACCTGTCGAAAGTTCAGGCACCGGTTGTCCTTCCCCATGTGGAGCCTCCAAAGTTGTCCCATCCAGCTCCGTGACCCATCACTGGCACAAGTTAACTGCCTCTTCATTGTCCCTGGACAAATTCAGCGGTGCCCAGCTCTCCTTTAGTGCCTGAGGATTTCAAGGCCTTCAAGGACCCTTTGTACTGAGTGGCTGCTTCCTTGAGCATCCAGGTGGAGTTCTTGCAGGAGAACATCTGTAATTTGCTAGACCCCATGGAGAGTGACCCTCCCCATTAATGATGCGCACTTGGAAAGGTTCTTTGGAGCACACCAGCTTTGGTGCCACCTAAGGGAATGTGTTTGCAGAAATGCTACTTTGTACTGATGCTGGGATTTGAGGGATTTTACTTCCACCTGACCCCTACATCCCTGGTCATAACCGCTGGGAACGACATAGCTCAGCAGGGCAAATTTAAGTCCACTCCTCAGGACAAGGACTCTAAATGGCTGGACTAAATGGTAGAAAGATCTACACCTCCTCTTCCCTGCCAATGTTTGCTAACTAGCAGGAATTGTTGTCCAAGTACAACTTTTTAAATTGGACAGCTATGCCTAAGTTTACAAACCACCTGCCTGAAGCCTCCAAGGAGAAATTTTGGGTGATTATTGCCAACGTCTGCTTGGTAGCAAAGATATCGCTGCAGTGTGCACCTGACGTTGCCGACACTTTGGCCAGAGTGATGGCCTCAGCTGTGATCATGAGAAGGGCACCCTGGCTGCACAATTTGGGCATTTTCCCTGTGGTGCAGCAGGCAATAAAAGACTTGCCCTTCGATAGTCGGGTACTTTTTCAGACAAAACCAATGAAACTTTGTACTCCTTCAAGGATTCTAGGGCTACTCTATGTTCCTTAGGGGTATATATGCTGGTGGCCAAAATGTGCCATTACAGCGCCCAGCAACAGTGCCAGCAGCAGCAATGCCCTCAATACCCCTTTGGGAAATCTTTCTCTCCCCTAAGACAGCGGGACTACCTAGAAAAGGACATAGGTCCCAAATGGGGGCATTCAGGCTCTGGTTCTGCCAGTCAACACAACCTACTCCAGCACCCCCAAGCACCAAGTTTCACTCCTTTGTCCTGTTGGGACCTCTATTATCTCATTTCTCCCCCCCCTCTCCCCTCCCCCACTTCCCCATTTGGGGACAGGCTAGCCTGCTTTCTTAGTGTTTGGGGCTTGATTACCACCAACAGCTGGATCCTAAGCATTGTCAGATCAGGCTATGCTATCCAGTTCCTCTTTGCTCCTCCTCCCCACACTCCCTCCTAGTCTCTCTTCAGGGATCCCTCTCAGGGGATACTGCTCCTCAAGCAGGTCCAATCTCTACTGATTCTGGGTGCAGTGGAAGAAGTTCCTCTGGTGCACCAGCATCAAGGTTTTTATTTCTGGTACTTTCTGGTTCCCAAATCCAAAAGGAGGCGCAAGATCCATTTTTGATCTATGCTCTCATCAAATATATAGGATACATGAAGCTCTGAATGGTGACCCTGTCAACTATTCTCCAGGGTTGATTCAATGACTGGTTTGCTGCTCTGGACCTTCAGGATGCTTATTTTCATGTGGTGATCCTCCTGAGCCACAGAAAATTCCTCCAGTTCACTGTGGCAAACCACCATTTTCAATACATAGTCCTCCCTTTCAGTCTGTCTTCTGTCCCTGGGTTTTTAACCAAGTGTATGATCATGGTGATGGCAGACTCAGGAACAAGGAACCCATATCTTCCCGTATCTTGACAACTGGTTACTAAGGGACAGGTCCAGAGAAAATATTCTCATGTACCCATTATGCTGTGCTTGCTTGACTATCTGGGTCTCATCCTAAACACTGGGAAGTCCACATTGGTCCCCATTCAGAAAATTGAGTTCACTAGGGCCCTAATAGACTCTACACATTTGAGAGGTTTTTTTTACGACTGACCATTTTCAGACTTGTCACTTTTGTCTCAGGGTCTACAGTTTCAACCTTCCAAAAGAAGTTTGCACGTTTCTGAGGCTCTTGAACCACACATCCGCATGCACTCAGGTGGTTCAATTTGCTTTCTTCCTCTTCAAATGTGGCTCAGGACAGTTTACTGTCCAACCCGTCACCTCCTAGTCCACCTACCTCTGTTGATCCTGGGCTCCTTCCAGTGGTGGATTGTTCAAAGGAATGTATGTCAGGGCATTCCCTTTGTCTGGTTCTTAACAACCAGGACTGTGGTCACCAACACCTCTCTGATGGGTTGGGGAGCACTCGCTGAATGTTCAGCGTCTGTGATAGAGAAGGATGTTCCACTGCATATCAACATAATAATGCATGTCACAGTTTTCTAGACCACATCAGGGCTCAGTGGTTCGCATACTTACCAACATTACCACTGCAATGTATTATTTGACCAGGCGGGCAACACACTCCAGAGTGCTCTGTGAAGAGGCACCCAGGCCGTGGCAGTTCTACATCAAGAAGAGTATCACTCTGATAGCTGATCATTTGCCCAGAGTCCAGAACCATCTCATGGACCATCGCAGCAGAAATTTTAACCTGAGTCACAAGTGGTCTCTGAAGCCCAGTGTTCTGCAAATCATCTTCACAGCTTGGGGGCAGCCTGACAATCGACCTATTTACTAAAAGGGAAAACAGGCAATGCCATCTCTTCTACTCTTGAAGTGATGCAAAGGATTTTCCAGCTTCTCTGTGTACTGAAAACACTGATCAGCACTGAGGCACTGTCCAGCATTAATAGTACTGATCTGTCACCATTAGCTGAAGCAGGGAAAGATTGAGATTTGGGGTTTATGTAAATTACTGAAATTGGACCGGTGACAGTGAAACATAATATTAAGGTGCATATTATATATGTAAGTATTTAGATAGTTAATAAAGAAAGTTTTAAGCAGTTACAGCTAGAGAAAGCAAGATGGTGGTCGCAAGAAACCAAAGCTGTGAAAACCAATATGGAGGCCTTAGAACGATTCAGCCAATAGCAGAAAGGCTGGTTGGGGTGAAATAAAGGTCACTCCAGAAACCTGAAGGGTAGGGTCAGTTAGGCAGAACACAGATCTTCAAACAGGTCTATCTTTAAAGCACATGTTTTTAATCAGGTCCAGCTCTGATTGACAGAGAGAGGGCTTGAAGCTGATTGGATGATAATGATAGGGATTGAAGAAACAACCAATCAGAACAGATCAAAATCTGTATATAAGGCAAGGAGCTGACAGGCTTTAGTTAGTTTGTCTGTGAAAGTGGAAAGGTACCTGCATGTGTGTGGGAGGAAAAAGGCATCAGCGCGGATAGAAGTGGGAGAGAAGGAAGTCCACTAAAAAAGCTAAAGCACTAAGCAGCAGCAAGCAGTGAAAAAACAGCAGCAATATCAACCCCATTTTGACAAAGCAGAAGGGAAGATATCAAAGAAGTAAGCCTAATGACTCCGATATACATATAATGTAACATGTAAATGTGTATGTATGGGATGATAAAGCTGGATCACTGTGTATGTATGCTTTGTTGTTATATGTATAGTTTTAATGTTTAAGAACTTGCTGTCAGTCTCCTATGTGTGACTGGCTATCACATATAGAATGCAATCACTTAAAGCTGTTTTCCAATTGTAGGATATTGCAATTTTGCATACTTTAAGGTGCATCTGTGCTAATAGGATTTTATGCCTTTGTTAAGAAAATGTGTGGTTTATTTCTTTAGTATATGTTTTAGATCTGCTGTGTTTTCCTAATATTATTATGTGTTTTAGAGTTATTGTATTAGGAAATATAGCACTAAATAAAGGTTACTTTTGTTTTTGAAGAATTACTGCCTGAGTGTAAATCCTTTCAGCGGAAGGCTGTATCTGTGTCCTCCCAGGGGTTAACAGAGCTAGTCTGTTCTGGGGAGTCCTCCAAAGGTCGGAGAGAAACCCTCTGGTAAAACCCTGGCAATTCCTTGAGGGCGGGCCACCCCCTTTACCTACCAAAACCAGACAAATTGAGGTCTGAGTTACAAATGTAGGCACGCCATTATAGGGGAGCCTGGAGTCTGATCTTGGGGGTAACAGAGGGGGCCCTCAGTCTGGCCTCTCTGATCAACACCTTCCAAATCAGGTGACAATCAGCTCTCCTCTATGCTTTACCTCTGATCCCCATCATTCCACAGGTCATCCTCAAGCTGAAAGTGGATTGGGTCAAGCTTATCCCCATTGCCCTGGCATGACAGAGGAAGCAATGTTGGTTTTCTGACCTTCTCATGTTATCATTCAGCCTTCCATATCTTTTTCTCTCCATCCTGACCTGCTCACACAGAATCACAGTTGCAATTTGCATCCTGCGCTCAACTCCCTGCATCTCACTGCATGGCTGCTCAGTGGTTGAATGATGAGGAAGAGCAATGTTTGCCAGCTGCTCGACAGGTCCTACTCAATAGTAGAAAGCCCTCTACCAGACTGGCCTATTAGGCAAAATGGAAGTGGTTTTCAATGTGACCTTGGCCCATGGAATTCAGCTGATGCTGGCTTGCATCCAGGACATCTTGGAGAACTTGCTGCATCCTCAGTCATGGGGCCTTATGCTTAGCTCATGGAAGGTGCATCTGGCAATGATCTCACGGTTTCATCCACCTATTCATGGGAGATCAGTATTTTCCAATGGTAAGATTCTTAAAAGGATTTTTTCATCTTCATCTGCCAGTGCGGGAACCAGTTCCTTTTTGGGACTTTAATACTGTCTCAGCAGCTCTGATGGGACCTCTGGTCGAGCTGGTCAGTCATCTTGTCACTTTCCTTTCCTTTTTTGTGTCAAAATAACTGCATTCCTGGTGGCGATAACATCCGCAAGGAGAGTCTGAGTGTTACAGGCTTTGATGGCAGAGCCTCCTTATATGCAGTTGTCCAAAGACTACGCGACATTGGGGCTGTAACCAACATTTATGTCTAAAGAAGTCTCTCAGTTTCATTTGAGCCAGGTGGTATATTTACCTGTTTTATTTCCTAAGCAACATTCATCCCTGGAAGAGTAGCACCTTCACAGGTTAGACATCAGATGACATCTAGCCTTCTAGACTAAACCCTGTCATGCTTTGCCTCGTCTACTTGTGTTGTACGTGGACTGTGTGAAGGGCCAGCCAGTCTCTTTACAAATTACTAAGTGGATGACATCCTATATCAAGGCTGCATACAAAATAGGTGAGGCTATGCCCCCTCCATGGGTGTGAGCTCTTTCTACGAGAGCACAAGCTACGTCAATGGCTTTCTTAAGTGACATCTCAATTGGACATTTGCAGGGCTGCCAAATTATCATCCATACATACACTTACAAACCATTTAGGAATCACTCCTCAGCATCATGGACAACGTTTGAACCCTGGTGAGGGTATCACCAGGGAAAACACGTAACTAAGCTAACTAACACTAATACTAAGAGTACTAACTATACACAACTAGAACAACTAAAAAACTGAGGGATTGTGAGGTTGCAAACACACATTTCTTAGCCCATGTTTTGAACATCTTAAAATGTAGGAGAAAGATTTTTAAAAATCCAATTTACATGTCACTATTTATGCTTGTTACCTGCCTTTGAATTGCCTGTCTGCTTGGATAGGACAATGAAAATCAGTTTCACTTTGAAATTCTTAGATTGCAATGATTAGGTTTCAAATACTGCAGGAGTCCATATCTTTAAAAAAAATCAGCCATTTCACTGGATTTTTATTTAATTTTCTATTATTTAAATTTTGGGCTAAGTTTGAATTGATAGCATCCCTTTAATAATTACATTATTTTATAGTTTGTTTACAGGATACCTTAGTAGCATATACTAAAGCTATAAAATACAAATCATTTTCTTACTTATAAAGGTCAGGCTGAGGTTGTTCACATTCAATGGTAGCATGCAGTGCATCGATATCTTGTTCATTATGAAATGCCTTGGTATCTTGAACAGCATAGTAAGTCTAGAATGAATGAGAAAGGTGTAACAAAAAAAAATAAGCCAGAACACATGCAGTGACCAGGTTATTTATGTAATTGAAAAAAGGGCCCTAAAGTAGGTAAATTTCCCATATTTTGTGTTAAGACTGTCAAGAGCCAGGTAATAATGATTCTCATTAAAAAATATGCGCTTCCAAATACAGATCTGGAATTTTCTTCTGCCTGTCATAACTCACAGATAGTTCATACTGCAAAGAAAACTGAATCACTCTTTTCCTCTAATCTAAGCAGCCTAAATTCTAAGTGAAATATTTTTGCCTTTTCTTAACCTTTTACATAAAAGGTTCACATTTCCAAATAGGTGCATGCCTCGGTGCCCCCAATCTCGCACAAACCAGGATTTCACATATGTATACGCATGCACAACTCTAGCTCGGGCTTCACCTCTGAGTGCCCATGTTGGGCGCATACAAAAGTGCAAGTACACATAAGCAAGCACCAGTTAGAAAATTCCTCATAAAATGGCTCAATGGGGAAATAAGTTAATGACAGCTTAAATAAATAAATAAATAAAAATCACACAAACCAATATCTTTGCTTACACTATTATATAGGATGTTACTGTGCACTGTATGCAAAAGAGTTTGTTTAGCATTTTTAAAATAAAAAACGATAGTATTTTATTACTTTATGACTAGATTCACCATCCAAACTAGCTGTTGTAACAAAACATGTTCCATCCCCTCTGCTGCTTGACAGAAATATTAAGTCACATGGGAATGTTTCATCTTCTTTTACCATCACAATGTCTCCAACCTAAAAAAAAAATAGAAAAGAAAACATGTTTATCATTAGTTAAATAGCCTAAAGATCAGATTCCAAGGATGAAATCCTTGTTCTATCAAAGTCTATAGAAAAATTTTCATTGACTTTAATAGGGCTGAGATTTCATCACAAGACTAAGGAACTGCAGATACAATTCTCAAAAGGAGTACTAAGTCCTGTAAGACAATAAATAATACTTAGCACTTGTATAGTATCTACCCTCTGAGGATCTCAAAGCACTTCACATTCTTTTATTAAGCCTTACAACATCCCTTCTAGATTTGCATGTGTGTGGTATTATCCCTATTTTACAGATAAAAACACTGAGGCACAGTGGGGCTGGGAACGGCGAACCACGGCCACTGGGAGCTGCGGGGGGCCGTGCCTGTGGACGGTCAACATAAACCAAATGTCTCACAGCCCGCTTCTTATAGTGTGCCACAGTACAACAAAGCAGCTCCCACAGTCAAAAATTATTTTAAAGATTTTTTTCTCCCCGCAGAGGCAGCTTCTGATATATTTTTTTAAACTCAAATTTAAGTATAGCAGGTCAAAGAAGGTCAAAAAATTGCAAGAATTTAGTCATGGGGGCGGGTGTCAAAATATCAAAGTTTCAATGAAAAATATCAAAAAATTAAATTTTGAAATTTTGACGAACTGAACATTCGATTGATGTGGATTTCTTGGGTTGCCTACTTTATCATGCTAAAATGCCCTTGTCTAAATAGTTTTCTAGTTAATCATTGTGCTCTTGTCAGAAGGATTTAGTGTGGTCACAAAATGAATTTCATAACAGAAAACTATGACATTAAAGACTGAATTTTGACATCACCAAAACAAACTTTTAGGAGGTGAGCAATTCTAATGATGCACAATATTCTGGTAATTGACAATGACCAAGTATAAAAGTAAAAATCAAGACAGTTTAGGTAGGATTTGGTAAAATGTATTTTTACATTTCCCAGATTGTGGAAGGAATTCCTAATGAATTAGCTCAGCCGCCGACCCAACGTCCGTATCTGCGTACTTTCAAATAATTTGGGTATTTTTGTGAAGTGGAAGTTTACATTAGAATTTTCATGTTAACAATTGCATTTGAGAAAACTACAACGGGGGGGGAAAAACCCTTGATTGAAGTGATATTATTTCAACCATAACTTCATTTAAGATTTTTTCCCCTGTAAGTTTCCTTAGAGTTTTAAAATGTTTCAGGAGTTGCTCAGGAACAGGAGTTCCTTCAGATCTGGCAAGCTTGGCAGGGATGGATCCTATTCTTTTCCAGACAGCCTCCTACACTCATACGTTGTTTCTTCCCTCCTTTTCGCAATACCAGATATTTTCTCCCCTACGTTTCTTTCCTTCTTGTGCTCCTTCTGCACTGTGTGGTTTTCTGCCTTCCATTCCTCTCCTAATGAGCACCCATATCTGGGCTATGTAAAATATATCACGCTCTGTAAAGCACTTGTCAGGCCAAACACAGCTTGACAAGTATTACTGGGGCCTTGCATGCTTTATAAAGCACGCAGTGTCATGCATGGTCATGTTAACATGATTGCAGCCCCTCGGTTCTGTTCCCTTGCCCCCCTAAAAGGCACAAATAAAGATGCAACTACTTGACAAGAACACACATTTTGATAGTCTAGGCCAAGAAGTTTTGCAGATTAAAATAGACCAAAAAAGCATTAGTAATATTTCTGTGAATGAAAGGATTAATTCTTCAACCTCAGCCTCAAAAATGCATTTGTGGTTTTAAGTTTGGGATAAATTGTACCAAAAAAACCAAGTGTCAATCTTGGATTAAGACCTGACAATGTGAAGTTTCAGGTGGTCAGATCCTTACAGGGAGTGAGGGTAAAAATCAGATTTCTAATGGAAAGATATATTATTTCATAGATATGCTTGAAGCTATCACATAACACAACACAAGATGACCAAGTCATTTTTGCTACAGAAAACGTACATGCATTTAAATTCTCAGCCATAATATTGTATTAATAGTTTTGTCGGTTGAATTTTCTTCTTTTTAAGAATCGGAAACAAGAAAAAAAATTTCAGAGCAGGATACCAGTGAATATATTCAAATCACATTTCTTAAAATTATAGTAATTCAGAGGCACATTGGTGCCATAAAATGTCCAAACTGCCTGGAGGCCCTGGGATTAAGAAATAACGAAAGGAATCCAAGATGGTTGGAATCTAGTGGATATGGGTAAAACAGATTTGTCACTAGAGAATGGGAATGAAAGGCTTCAGATCTGTCACAGGGAACGATGGTGCAGGAGAATACAAGAGGTCAGTAAGATTATTTGAGTGTGTGCTTCTAACAATTAGCCCGGGCATTAACACTCCAATTTTATTAGAGAGAAATTTGCTTACATGTTTGTGCAGAAACAAGGAAACATTAAACTACTACAACTTATAAACAAACTAGGGAAATGCAACCTAGATGCAGCTACTATAAGGTGGGTGCAAAACTGGTTGGAAAACTGTTCCCAGAGAGTAGTTATCAGTGGTTTACAGTCATGCTGGAAGGGCATAACGAGTGGGGTCCTACAGGGATCAGTTCTGGGTCCAGTTCTGTTCAATATCTTCATCAATGATTTAGATAATGGCATTGAGAGTACACTTATAAAGTTTACGGACAATACCAAGCTGGGAGGGGTTGCAAGTGCTTTGGAGGATAGGATTAAAATTCAAAATGATCTGGACAAACTGGAGAAATGGTCTGAAGTAAACAGGATGAAATTCAATAAGGACAAATGCAAAGTACTCCATTTAGGAAGGAACAATAAGTTGCACACATACAAAATGGGAAATGACTGCCTAGGAAGGAGTACTGCGGAAAGTGATCTGGGGATCATAGTGGACCACAAGCTAAATAGGAGTTAACAATGTAACGCCGTTGCAAAAAAAGCGAACAATGTAAAACTTTAGCGCCTACAAGTCCACTCAGTCCTACTTCTTGTTCAGCCAATCGCTAAGACAAACAAGTTTGTTCACATTTATGGGAGATAATGCTGCCTGCTTCCTATTTACAATGTTACCTGAAATTGAGAACAGGTGTAGCCAGCATTGCAAGGTATTTAAATGCCAGATATGCTAAATATATGTATGCCCCTTCATGCTTCGGCCACCATTCCAGAGGAAATGCTCCCATGCTGATGTTGCTTGTTAAAAAAATAATGCGTTAATTAAATTTGTGACTCAACTCCTTGGGGGAGAATTATACGTCTCCTGCTCTGTTTTACCCAAATTCTGCTATATATTTCATGTTATAGCAGTCTCGGATGATGACCCAGAACATGTTGTTCGTTTTAAGAACACTTTCATCACAGATATGACAAAACGGAATGAAGGTATCAATGTGAGATTTCTAAAGATAGGTTTAAGAATCTGAAGTGCCTTCCAAAATCTGAGCGGGACAAGGTGTAGAGCGCGCTTTCAGAAGTCTTAAAAGAGCAACACTCCAATGTGAAAATTACAGAACACACACCACCAGAATTAAATGTGCTTATGTTTACAAGACACAAACAGTGAATTATATTTATATTGAAAATGGTGGCAAGAGTAATTTTTTTGATAGTGAAGATTTAAGAATACCTGACTGGCACTAGAACTACAGCTGCTTGTTTGAAAAGGTAAAGATGAAGGGACCCAAACAAACTGTGTCATAAGGATAAATGGTCTTAAAAAAAATACTAGGCTAGTGAAGAGATCAGAACACCAAACGGAAGAGTCACAAGGAATTTTTCCAAGAGCTCTGACAAGAGAATTCTGGCAAAACAGGAGGCACCAGAAAAAAAAGGGTATTCCAAAGAAATGCCCATCAATTGTTTCAAACTGTTGACATTCTGAAAATTAAACCAGATAGGCAAGTTGTTTTGCTTATGACAATTTACAGACATTAGTTTCTGAAAATAACCCCCAAAATATCAGGGGTGCAGGTATAAATGTAGAAATCTAAAGGAGAGGCTTTATGATGCTGAAAAGGTACAAAGCAAGGATTGTATTCTGATTGGGCTGTGTCCTCTTTGCAAGGAGAGGAATTAGTCAATGGATTTTGCATCAAAATTGGATTAAAAGAGACTATCTTGCTGGAGAGAGAGAGAGAGAGAGAGAGATGAAAACAGAAGAAAAACCATGAGTGAAGGGATAGAAGTTAAGAAAGAGATAATGAAAGGACCAAGGAGGGTAGAGAGACAACCCAGTATAGGGAATGGATAGGGGAGAGCCTAGCAAAGCAAGGATGAGGAAGGAAATGCTATAGCTTTTTACAATATTTTATTCAGATTTAATCAGTTTTAAAATATTTTTCTAAATTTTATTTTCCATATTGATGTAGTGCAGTGTTTCCCAAACTTGGGACGCCACTTGTTTAGGGAAAGCCCCTGGCGGGCCGGGCCGGTTTGTTTACCTGCCGTGTCCGTAGGTCCGGCCGATCATGGCTCCCATTGGCCGCGGTTCGCTGCTCCAGGCCAATGGGAGCTGTTGGAAGTGGCGGCCAGAACGTCCCTCAGTCCGCGCAGCTTTCAGCAGCTCCCATTGGCCTGGAGCAGCGAACTGCGGCCAGTGGGAGCCGCGATCGGCCAGACCTGCGGACGCGGCAGGTAAACAAACAGGCCCGGCCCGCCAGGGTCTTTCCCTAAACAAACGGCATCCCAAGTTTGGGAAACACTGATGTAGCGAATACTGTGATCTTGAGCGCATTACATTTTTGTCTAATTTGTTTTGCAACTGGGAGGAGTGGGGGAGAGTTAAGCCTGATCCCTAAAAAAATACCCAGTGTTAGTTGTTACTTACTCTTAATTTTCGGCTTTGCTTTCTAACCAGTTTGCCATGCTGAATGAAATGAACAGGGCATTGGTTCATTGCATTGTCTGCTTTATGTCGAAGCCAATCTTCATAACCCTAGAAAACAGTGAAGTGAAATGGAATAAAGTTAAGGAAATGCAGCTAGCCACACTTTACATTGCAGTTGTAGATCAAAGCTTTCTTACAAAAAATAGTTAAAGAATTTTCCATTACAAGATGATAATTAAAAGTAAAGCATACCACTAAAATCTTCAATAGTTTATTATTTAGCAAATCAGATGTGCTTAAATAACATAAGTGAAGGTAATCTGATGGTGTGAGTAGGGTTTGTGAAAAAATGCAGAGCCACTGCTTGATCTCTGGTGAATAATGGGTAAACTCCAGCTCAACTTCCACCACTCCTTGCCCAAGTGCTCGGAGGGGTTTCTATAAGAGTGGCTGCTTAAGAGACATAGTGTGCAGAATGCATTTGGTAAGGTTGGGCTCAACATTAAGCGATTACAGGGCTGGAATGAACTACAGGTCTGTCACATTTTACACACATTTAACACGCGTGATTTCAGCTTTACGCGGATGGCAAAAATAAAAAAAAAGAGAGAGAAAAATAACCATTTTAATACTGTACTTGTAGTGCGGGCAATTTCGCCCGCCATTCAACTCAATGTAATTTTGACTTTACGCGGTTTTCACTTTATGTGCTAACCGCAGAACGGAACCCCTGCGTCAGATGAGACTCGCCTGTACAAACTGGGGAGTTTCCCTGTTCGTTTTCTGATTACATTGGACTATTATTTGGTGTACACAGTACACCAACCCTACAGAATAAGTTTTGAGACAGTGACCTTGCTGATGCTTATTTTGGTTGATGAATTATTCCACCAATTTATAAGGTTACATTAGAGAGGAACAAATACAAATATAGTTGAAGATCTCAGCAATACAATGATAACTCTGCTTTCAAATTTGTATAGCCATATTATAAAATTAAAAAATTAGTTTTACTATTTTATTAGTTTTTTTAAAATGAATAGATACTTTTTTTTGGAGGTGCAAGTTCCTCCTACTTCCCATCCTCCCCAAATCTCTCTTGCATTAATTCCATGGAAGCCCCTAATGTACACAAAGACCAGATGCTAGAACTGATATATAAACAGAGAGCCGACCTAAGCAGCTCTTTTGCCTGGAAATTCCTAGAAACAAGGCAAAAATGCCATATATCCAGGGGCAGAATTCAGCATATTGCTTATGATTAATGACAACTGGAAGATGCAACAACAGCTGCTAACAATATCAGTGACAGTTCACCCCACAGGTTTTCCGTTCTTTTTATGAGAAAGGGTAACTTCAAGCTTATAAAGGATTTTCTATGGCTGTATTTATTTTTTATTTTTAGAGATGCACCCATTACATGTGTGCAGGAGCATACACACAAATTAAAATGCAATTTGACATGTCAACCAAATATGAAAAGATAACTCCAAAATCCAACTGAAGAAACAAATATCCCCCAGCAATGGGAGGAATCAAAAAGCTGCTGTTTGTAATTTCTTTAATAACTAATGAATGAGAAAAGCCCAGATGACCTTTACACCATGGCACTGAAAGTCACGCTCCACAGGCTATTGGACCAGCAGGAAAAGCAAATTCCAGAGTCTACGGCCATCAATTTAAGACATCCTGCCCTAGTCCTCAGAAATTCCAAATCAACTAATCTCAATTGTTGTGGTAAAGAAATACAGTAGAACCTCAGAGGTAAGAACACCAGAGTTATGAACTGACCGGTCATCCACACACCTCATTTGGAACCAGAAGTACGCAATCAGGCAGCAGCAGAGAGAAAAAAAAAGAGCAAATACAGTACAGTACTGTGTTAAATGTAAATTATTAAAAAATAAAGTTAAAAAAAAAGATTTGACAAAATAAGGAAACTGTTTCTGTGCTTGTTTCATTTAAATTAAGATGGTGAAAAGCAGCATTTTTCTTCTATATAGTAAAGTTTCAAAGCTGTATTAAGTCAATGTTCAGTTGTAAACTTTTGAAAGAACAACCATAACGTTCTGTTCAGAGTTATGACTATTTCAGAGTTACGAACAACCTCCATTCCCAAGGTGTTCGTAACTCTGAGGTTCTACTGTAGGTGATTCCCCAGACACACAGAGCCTAAAAAACAGTGGGTTTAAAGGCTGTGATTTCAAATCTCACTGGAATTCAATGCTTTTAGTTCCCTTAGGTATGTTTGAAACTCCTTGCCTAAGAGATCAATATCACCACTTTGAATTACACCCAGAAATGAATAGGGAACCAATATAGTCTTTGGAGCACTGTGTAACATGCTCCCAGCAGCTAATACTGGTATACAAGCGGCCCACCAAAGTCCACACCAGCTGTAGCTTCTGAGAGTAGTCACAAGGGGATACAAGTGTAGTCTTATGTGGAACACTTTGTAATAATCCAGTCTTTGTTTGATTGCTGTCAAACCACAACAACAGACTGTTAAAAATAATCCCCCAAATCTCAGAGTGGGAAAACCACCCGTAAAAACTAGCTGTTGTGCTTCCCACAACCACTTAGTGTCAGCAAATACTGAATTTGACTGCAAAGTTTAGTCAGTCATGCAGTGTGAAGGAATGAAAATGCTGCTGTTTGTAATTTCTATTACAACTAATGAATGAGAAATGTGTAGAATGAATATTCTCTGCATTCATCACTGCCAAATGACTTGAAACAACTACAGCGGTAGCCAGTTGTCCCAGTATGACACAATGGAAGTTACTTTCTTTCTAGGGACCAGAACTGGGGCAAGCCCAAATGGAGGCATGGAATATTGGAATAAAGAGGCCCTATTGCCAACCAAAAAGTTTTGAACTGAAGTCTGACATATTAATCTCTCTTGATGTCCTATAATCTCAACTTCTTTCTCTGAGCATAGAATACTTTTGTTTGAAGAAGTTAAGAAAAATAATAACTGGCTAATGTCTGTACAAAGAGTGTTGACTCCTGGCACTGAGCAGATAGCATCACACAATTTTGAGCAGAAAATGTTAATACAAACAATTGTACCCTCTGTTGTATCACATTAGATGGAATATATTGGACGAAAGAATTAAAGGTGTCAACATGATCCTGTCACTGTCCAATATTAAACAGTGTTAAACAAGGTTTGGTAGACAAAGATCTTAGCCTGCTTAGTACCATGGCAAACACACTACATTTTTTAACCTTTTAATAAAGATGCAGAAAACAGTTACATTTTTGAAATGTGAAGTATTAAGTAGGGCTTTCATTTTAACATTTTTTGTTCTCTTTCCCTTTTGCTGGAGAAAGTTTTAAGACAGACACCCCACCAAAACACACCATCCCCGTCTGACAGTGTCTTGGAGGTATTAAAGTGGTAATAACGGCTATTTTGGCGGAAAGAGAAGAAGTTAGTTGAGGTGGTCTGGAGGTGGTGGTGGTGGTGTTAAAGTCTGATTCTGTTTCTTAGAAGACAAAACAAAAACACACACTCAAAAGGGGAGAGAAAAGAACAATAAAGACAGAAAATGGAGGCTTCTGTCTCGTGCTGACTCTTACTTGCACCTCACTACTGAAAAAACAAAAGCATGGCATATTGTCTTATTAGCTACTCCAAGACTTGGCAAACTTGTACCAGGGCTGTTTAGGGCATTGCTGGTCACAGGGTTATAGCAGTGCCGTAAAACACAGTTTTGACCAGCTAACCCAGACTCTTATTAGATAGAAGAAAGAGGGAGGATAGGAAAGAGAAGAAATAAGGTAGGGAAGGGGGAAAAAACCACAATGTGGGGAGAGGCAGAAAGCAAAGTCTCACATCCCAGGTGATGGCCGGGATTTAGTCAGTCTCGATGGAAGGGGTGATGTGATTTGGGTCCCTCTCTCTGGCCTGATCTGGTCAGGACTTCTCCCAGGGTCAAGATAAAGGCCCAACTGTGTTACAGTGGATCTTGAGGTCTCAGGAAATGGAGTAGGTGACAGCCATGATAGTATAGCTCACTCCTTTCCTGATCTTCTCTCTCTTAGTCAGTGGTTGTTGGCAGCCCACTTTCGCTAATTCTCCTCCAAAGTCTTTCTGAGGACCCCAAAAGGTAGTGATGGGTGAAACAGCTCTTCCCTTCATTATTTTATCCACCAATTAGGCCTAATTTCCTATACACTAATTCTGGTTAAATTGATTTCCTGGCCAACATTTTCCTTGTTTACCAGATATGATTTTAACACAGTCCTTTTTGTTCGGACTAATTCAGACGGTCTCCCTTTCCCACCTTTTCCCAGCAACATATGTTGTTCTAGGTTATTGTGACATTTTATGAACTTTCAATCACTTTTCACATTTGAACTCACAATGAGGGAAAATTTATACACCCAATTATCACAACACTTCTTTACTCTCTTCCCCCTCTATATTGTGTGAATGAAACTGTTGGTGTCCTGATCAATGGCAGAATGCAGACTGGAGTCTGAATGGGAACAGGTTGAGCCAGTGTAACTGAAGATATGAAATTCTTACACAGTTAAGTCATAGCATATAGCATATATTTTGTGTGGGGTCCCCCACTGATTTTATTGGGATTCTACACAGGTGTACCAATCCACTGCAGCAGATAGCATTGCAGTACTGGGGTCACAGAGTTACAAACTGCTGTAATCCACTCTCTATGGTAATATTAATTTAAAACCTACAAAAGAGAAAGGAAGGCTGACACAGTTCCATACTATTATAGTATTATTTTATTTAGATTAGGGGAACCTTTATTAAGATTTTCCAAGCTACATTGATATGGGAAGTACTGACTTACTTGAATTTTATTATTTTAGTTTTTATAGATAATTTTTAAATATATTTGAAGCATTATTATATAGTATACTCAATCATTTGTAAGATCCATTAAGTCTCGTTATAAACTGTTAATAGTTTAAGTAAAAATTAATGTGATTCAAATACTTAAAAAGTCCATCTTGTGGCTACTATATAGACGTTGTCTATACATAGCACAACAACTGTATGTTGGAAATTTCCTCACAGATAAGAGCAATAATTGTATTCTATAACCTACTGCTATAATTCTTCCTCCGCATATTTTCAATTTTTTGAATAGGTAGGTAGATAAATATTTAGGAACAAAAAGAAACAAACATCTGGATACTTTTTATAAATACAATTGTATAAACTATTCTTCGGAGCACAGTTACAAAAAGTACAAATTAATATTACAAAATAATTTTGAAAGTGTTGTTGAATAAATGAAAGCCAGCATCATTTAACAACCAATAAAATTCTACTTAAAACAGAGGCAAATAAAAAGTAAAGCCTTCAAAGTAAAGAAAGGATAACCCTTCCCTTGAATCCCCAAGAACAAACAAAAGTAACATTGGCAGTTAATAAAAAAAGGAAAAATAAAACAAATTTACATTTTCATACAATCTTCAGTTTTACTCCGCCATCTCCCCCCCAAAAGAAACTCTCACCTGTTTGATAGCTGTTACAGTGATGACAAAGAAAAGCGGAAGTCCACTTGTTACTGGACTGGTTGGTGTATCAATAATTAACTGTAACACAAAGAATAATCATACCATTTCCTGAATATAGTTTTGTGAATTTAATGCAATCATTTTCCAAGCATGAAATTTATATTAGGCTTTTTAAAAAGCTCACAGTGCAACTATACACAAAGCAACTTATTATTAAAAAAAAGAAAGTAAGTGCAATAAGAAATCAAGGTTATTTCTATTGACAATACCACTCCCTGACACCATGTGTAATTGCAAATACATGAATTGGTGGATAGGCTTATATGATCTTGCACTCTGTCAAAATGGAGGTTGCTTACTGTAACTGGAGATTCTTTGAGATATGTGGTCCCTATCTGTATTCCACACATGAGTATGCATGTGTGCCATGTGCTCAAGTCTGGAAATTCTTCAAAGCAGTGTCAATTGACCTGCACTTGTGCAGTAGCTCTCCTTGCGCTTCCAACCAAGGAATGAAAGGCAGTGTGGGTCAACGCCTCTCCAGTTCCTCTTCTTACTGCAATCCAACCAGATCTGAAGCAGAAGGGATGGAGGATGGAAAGCAGTGACTACAGATGCAGCCATAGGAAAGGCAGCACTACAAGCATCTCTGTGCCACCTTTCTCACACCCTCCTCCAGTCTGAACACTGCTAGCCAGTCACCCATGTGTGGAATACACATAGGGACCATCACTCAGAGAAGAAATGGAGGTTACTTACTGTAACTGAATATTCTTTGAGGTGTGTGGTCCCTATCTACATTTCACACATGGGTGACTGGCAAGCAGTGTTCAGACTAGAGAAGGGTGCAGGGAAGGTGGCAGCACAATTGCTTGTAGTTATGCCCTTCCTACAGCTGCATCTGCAATTGCTGCTTGGCCTAGAATGTAATGTGTTATGAACATGTCAACAGAACTCCAAGATGATGCCCTGCAAATGTCCTGCAGTAGAACATCAGATAGGGATGCCATGGAGCCAGCATGTGCTTGCATGGAGTGATCTGTAATACCCCCTGGAGGGGAATATTTGCTATTTTGTAACATTCTAAGATGCATTCCAAAACCCACTTAGAAATCCTCTGGGAGGATATGGCTTGCCCATGCAATCTTTCTGCTATGGCAATAGAGTCTCAGAGATTTTCTAATTGGTTTGATTCTTTGCAGGCAGAATGCCAATTGATCCTAATGTTGAGGGAGTGAAGTCTCTTATCTTAGGAAGAAGCATGGGGTTTCGAGAAAAATTATAGGTGATGGTGTTGTCTGATTGATGTGGAACTCAAACAATCTTGGGGAAGAAATTTGGGGTATAACCTAAGGGAAACCTTCTCTTTGTGAAACATTTTGTATAGGGAGGATCTGCCATAATGGCTCCTAGCTCCCCAATCCTTCTGGGGGAAGTGCTGGTCACTAAGAATGCCACCTTCATGGATTGGGGTGGTTCATAGCACAAGTTGCCGTAGGTCAGAAGTGTGGATCTTTAAATGTCAACAAGACAAGGTTAATGTCCCATTGAGCCATAGATTTAATGACCAGTGGAAAGATCCTAATCAGCCCTTCATAAATCATACAGTCGCAAGGTGAGCAAACACAGAATGTTCTTCTAATGGAGGGAAGAAAGCACTAATCACTGCTAAGTGTACCCAAAGCAAACTAAGGGCTAGACCTGCAGTCTTTATGGAGAGGAGATAGTATAGGATAACTGGAATGCTCACGGTATTTAGCGAAAGTTGGTGGAGGTGTACCCAGGCTGAAAAGTGTCTCCATTTAGCTAGATAACTACTTTGTAGAGAATCCTTTCTACTTTGGTTAAGGATTTCCTAAACTGGGGTGGTGCATGAGCATTCTATTTCTGACGCCCATCCAAACACCAGGCCCATGAGGTGGAGTGATCCCAGATTGGGGTGCTTGATTTTCCCCCCTGTCAAGGATTAGGAGATCTGCAAAAGGGAGGATCCTGATGGACGTGTATGGACATAGTTAGAAGTTCTATGAACCAGGATAGTCTGGGCCAGCAGGAGGAGGATGGATCTTCCCTACGACTTGCAATAGTAGGGGGATGGAAAGAAAGGTGTATCTGAGGCTGCCCATCCAGGAGACCATCACCCTGGGAATCACAACCCATCGCTCCCCTGGAACAATAGAGGGGGAAGTTTTCTGTTCATCTGGGAGTACCCCATTACCTAAATATCTTGGTTAGGACTGTGTTGTGGATCTGCCATTCATGGTCTGCTTAGTTTGTTTGCTAGGGAGTTATTAACACATGGAAGGTATGTGGCCTGTATCATAATGTGGTTTCTGAAACACCACTTCCAAAGTCTAATTGCTTCCAGGCACAGAGGACAAGATCTTAATCCTCTGTTCATATACCCCACCATGAGTACACTGTCCAACATTATCTGTACATGGAGCAAGCATATGAAGGGAAAGAAGGCCTTGAACACAAGGCAGATTGCCCTCAGGTCCAGTAAGAACAGAAGAATGGCCATACTGGGTCAGACCAAAGGTCCATCCAGCCCAGTATCCGGTCTGCCGCCAGTGACCAATGCCAGGTGTCCCAGAGGGAGTGAACCTAACAGGTAATGATCAAGTGATTTCTCTC